CTTTTTGTTGGTTGCATGATTCTGCAGTAGTTGTCTTTCAAATCTTCAGCGCGGTGCAAAAGTGCCGCCTCAAATGCGTCATGTGCTGTTCTGCGCGTATGTATTGCATCGCATGTGTGTTCCATTTATGTATGTTATGTATAACTTCGAGTTGCTGGTCACAATAATACCGAGAAATTATCTCGAGACCTGTACGGTACTTCTTTTTTGCAAATAATTGTTTGTACTTCCACCCTGTAACGGCCCACTTCTGGGCTAACAGTATAAATAAATGAAATGAAATGAAATGAAATTGGGGAAGTGTGAGTGCTGAAAGTTCGCCGGACTTCATCCTGGAATGAAGTGGCCCCAGGGAGCCAAACAGAGCCGAAAAACTAAGCTTAGATGAATCCTTATACTACTCATCATTGCCATGCTGGCTGAAGCACCGTGCATTGCAGATCCCATAAACACTGGTGCCAGGGATTCTTCCCGTGCGTTTATCATAAACTCTGAGAGAGATGGCATTATTTCAATAGCTTGCAGTGTGAGGGAGAAAGGGAGGGAGATTACTTAATTCAGTTCACACTAGTAAATAAACTCAACTTAACCTGGCTGGACCCACTCGAGTACGATTAGGTTAAACCTGACGGCCTATATGCGCGGGCCCTCTGGATCATTAGAATTTCGAGGTTTGGTTCTCGGACTTAATGAGCTTCTTCCTCCTAGGGTCCCAATTTAATGTTGTTGCCTAAAAGCAACCAGTTGAGTTGAGTTTTCACAATTGAGTTGTTTAAGCTAAGCATAGTTTGTGCTGAGTGCATGAAAACTATCATCATTATCATCATAAGTGGAGACGTGCCATAGCAATTGGGTGAATCCGACTTTCATCCATTAGTCAAAAAAATAAAAGTAAAACTTTCAACATTAAACGAGTATGTGCCACTGTCCAGCCGCTCAGAAAACCCTCATCTCAAACGGATATTGGCCATAGAAATGGAGTTAATTCCCTTATTTCACATAGGCACGCTGAAACTGGAGACAACACTTTCCCCAACAATAAATGGCTGCGATGCGGCGGCCGAAGTCCCCATAAGCGGCTACAACGAGAGAATTCTAGGGAAAGACGGCTGCGAGAAGACGCCGAAGCAATGTATGCGCCAACATTGACATTCCCGTAGATCGCTTGGTGTCAGCGCTTGGCGAACGCTTGGTGTCAGCGCGACGTTCTGCTTTTCGACATGAGTGTCGTGTCAGCGACTGTCTGCGGCTTAACTCGAACCACTCTGCGCTAAAAGTTGACGTACGAACAACCCAGCGTCACCTATAGAAAGCCTATAGCAATAATGCAACACAGAAGAAACCCCTAGCTAAGGCCTATAAAAAATCCTAGAATCAACCAGATTAGTGTTTAGAATCGTCAAGTTTGCTGGTTGAAGTCCTGCGCGGTTTTGTGCAACCTTTGCCTATTTTCTTTTGCTAGTTTCTGGAACAGTCAGATACAATGTCTCGTCGGCTGCGTATAAGCTGGGGCATACTGTCACAGAGGGTCAGTGGCGAAAGCATAGCTTGATGGAGCTTTCCGACCGAAGATCCAAATGATTGTCGGATGTACTTGAACCACGGGAGAACGTGTGAATCGACTGCGACGTGCTTTGGGAGCATATGACATCCGGCGATGGCGATCATTTTTCATATCGATTGTTTATGGCTTGGACCCACGTGCTTTACCGAGATTGAACACTGCTCTCGCATTCTTTTCATAAGAACGACGTGCTACGACGCAACATCAATTTTACGGGCTCAGCCCGAACCCTTCCAAGGCTGTCAGCATCTCAAAAATGCAGCACAAAGCTTGTTCGTGTTGGCGCCATGAAGGCTCCTAGAGAGATCTTAGCATGTATGACAAAATCAAAATAGCGGTGAGCCTTAACATCAGGTAAACAGCGGCTGTTGAGATAAAGCTGATGCGAAAACGTAGCCTTTCATCTTCAAGATGTTTTATTTAAATTACGGAAAAAACGTGGTTGGTTTTATTGTAGCCGGATGTTTCAACATCATGGTAATAACATTCAAGACTCATGCAAATTCAAGAAAAAAGTAAAAAATAACTCAAAATGATCAGTATCACCGTGTTTGTATACCATATAAAGTGTATAAAGCATGAGCACAGTCTGAAGACATAGTTCAATTCATACAGCGTGGTCACATAGCAGATGCAGTGTGCAGATAACCTATTGAGGACTTCCATATATCTTGACAATTAAATATGCTCATTATTGACTCGAAGCTGTGGAAGGGATCGATAAGAACAACTGTAGACAATGCTCTATAATTTTCAGATAAAAAATCCCGACGAGCGCTCTGTGATCTCATCTGAATGCGACCAGAGGACACTATACGTTCACCCTTCAGGACCAATAGACAAGAGAGCCAAGGAGAGTATAGAGGATGTTATATGCAGCAAATTATGGTGTAAGTGTGGCGAAGAAACAAAGGTGGACGAAAAGGCAACTTGTCGCTGGTATATAGGGACCGAACTTGCGATCTTCGAGCAACACGTCCGATGCTCAACTAACTGAGCTACAGCAATGGTCATGCCCCCCTCCCCCCACGTCCACTTTATGGGGTACGCATTGTACACCTGGGATGATCAGTGAAAGCCTGGCAAAGAAGAACGAGTCTTAAAGCTTTCCTTCTTTCGCTTATATATTCACTAGCATGGTGAGGCGTCGTGCAGTTAAGCTCCGAAGTAAGACGCGGTCATGGACATCGTCCTTAATGTGTACGATTATGCCTGCTGATAAGGCTGCCGACTAATGAACCTAGAAAGTATAGGAGAGATTACTTGTATGTTCCAACTGTATAATAGTAACTATAAAATGAACACGAGTGAACCAATATGGATGAAATATTCACTTGCCACTGGTAGAGAGCGAACCTACAACCTTCCAATAACGCGTCTAACCCATTTAGTTAGAGGGGCGCTCGCTTACGCGTTCACTTTATTAGGCATTGATGTTAGGCATGATTGAGGAAGTGTCAGGCAGCGCCACTCGCAGCGATGAGGGCGAGTGTGGAGCACTCTTTTGTTTCCATGGTGGCGTCAAGCAACACGTGAACTTATTGCGATCTGGAAGCTCACCATTAAACCCACGCATAGTACCTAAGGCCTCAAATCTGCCTTAATTAAACACTCACTGTTAGTGAACACAGTCGCTCCCTTCACTCATTCACTCACTTGCTCCCTTCAATCATTCCCTCACTCGTTCGCTGAATCACTCACTCACTTACCCTCGTCCTTTCCGAAACGGTTTCCTTGCAACGCCCGTGATGAGGATGTAAAATGACGCGCAAGTGAATGATATCGACTTTAAGGAGCAGCAGAAAGCACAAAACAAAAATTATCCGCAGACTCGCTACGCTAACCAAGTCGGCGCTCAAGTAACCCGGAGAGGGCTGCAAACGCTTATCGTATTACAGCATGCCTGATGCGCCAAAGTGGGCGTATGTATGCAGTAAACACCAAGTGAGGCGAGCTTTCGCTAGTCGGTACACAATAGTCCACTATGAGTGAGAAAGGATGACGGATTATGACAACTAGAAAGCTATAAGATGACTTTTTTTTTTCGGTTCTGTGAAGGGGCTGACTTAACATTTAAAAAACACAACTCCACTCGGAAGCATACTGTACATTGGATGGGCATTTGAGGAATCTTTTCAGATGATTAGCTACATATCTTAGTGAAGTCTTATAAGAAAAATATTAGTGTATTTCAGCATGACGTATTTAATATTTTCCCTGTTTGACATATATATCTTCGCTGCAGTTTAATGTGTTACAAAGTTAATTTTCTTGTCATTTAGACATTTTTTTATTTGTAGCAATTAAGAGATATCCACAATCTCTGTAATGTTATCGCCATAGAAGTAGTAAGTTTGAACACTATTGTATCATCATTACCAAAGTTTTTTTTTTCCCCCGTTGCTTGCTACATGCCATGATACCTGCATTTACACGTAGGCTCTAACGCGGACATAAGCAGCCTCGTCTCAACATATCCTGCGTCCCATGAGTGTTATTCAAGACTGGCTCTTCGCTGGTCATTCTTCTGCATCACCCGCAGTAAGTCACTGATGTAGGTAAGGTAAGCTTGACATCACAGCGCCTAAACAAGACACATTGCTCCTTCGTAACATTTCTAGGTATATGTAAATAATTTCTGCAAATGATCTAACGAGCGTGTCTTTCATTTTTGCATTTGATTGTCAAAGGAATCGTTGAACAAATGTCGCAACTGAAATGTGCTGGCGATATGGAAGGAGGTGTAAAACACCTAGCGAAAAAAAAAAACGCGCGAGAGAGAAAAGCGTCAATCATAAACCTGAAGACCCAGTGGTCTAGAAGTGTGTTCCTTTCTTCGGTGAGCACGATATTACTTCAGGCGAAAACAGATCACGCAAAATATGCAGCTTCCTCTTGCTGGCGTTCATGGTTGACGCTCTTTTTTTTTTTTTCATGCCTTTCCCTTTTGTGCTTTGCATCATTTTTTTTTTCAAGTGAAGCATCCATCAACTGGTCCGTAAAGATTGACCATGCTCGTGATGCATGCTCGTCTGCATAGTCCGTGGCCACGTAACTGCCGATCTGTAAAGTGAGGTGCGAGCAGCTCCACTGACCTTGATTTTATTTTATTGTCTTCATTACTGGTTTATTATAGTCCCGTTGACCTCAACAACAGACACCACTTAGAATAATGCACAAAACTACATCTACGTCAAGATAAGCATACAAAAATTAAAGAATGAAGAAAAAAGCAGGATTAGCGTTCCTTAATATTCCTTTCTAAAAGTACGTTAGAGTGTCAGGAACAACGTCCCGTCGTTTTGGGCACATCTATGTACTGATCGACGATGCTCTCCCGAAAGAGCTCACGTGCAGGTCACCTGTCGCACTGAAATCCGGCTGTTTTTGCCCGCTATAAACAGTGGAGGCCAAGAAGCGTCGAAAGGTAGCTCACCTGTGAAGCAATAGCGACGGAGGCGCGGCATCCTCGCCTCAGACGCGCGAACTCGTCTCTGTCGGAGCTACGACAACACGGGAGCGCGAAGTGAGCAGTGCTTCCACCAAGCACGGCACACGATTACGAGCAAGTACAGCGAGAAATCAGAGAGCTACCGCGCTACGCACAGAGCCTCGCGTCGTCTACAACGCTGCACGTCCTCGTGGGACGAGCGAGAGCCCACCAAACCGCCCACTTCGGCCGAATCGGAAGTGTGGCGCCCTCTCCGAGCACTCGACGAGACTAAAAAGAAAGAAAGTGCGCGATCGGAAGCTATCGGGCAGGACGAGAACTTCTCGAACTTACCAGAGAGCTAAAACTGCTGCTTGAGTGAGTTGGTTCGTGTTTGACATCTTTACCAGAGCGAAAACACGGAACGGTTATAAACAGACACGGTACTTACCTCGCAACTGATTTACTACAGTGAACGCAGGGCCCGGCGAGCGAGCTGTTCGATAAATTGTGGGGGCAACTGAGATTCAGAGGCTTGGTGAAAGACGTGTCAGCGAGCCCTCTCTCTCCCCCTCCAAGAAGGAAGTACAACCTACAGCGAATGCCTTTTCGAAGATACCTTTCAACCCAATTATCATTTTGTATCGTGTAACTGTAATGGTTTTGTCGTGTTTGTCTGTCAGTTTTTGGTTTAATTATATCTTGTACTTTCGCTTTGAATATCAGCGACGGGCCGGGTGTTTTAAGAGTTTTGACCGCGCCGTCCCCTTTGCTTCAATGTCTTTTCAAGCAACCTGTCGTCACGAGATTTCTTCACCACTTTATTTTGACAAGTTATCTTTCCGTTGCATTGTAGAGCGCCATGAAGGCCTTGCGTGTGCAAAGAAATAAATCAGTTGTGAGTTCAGCGCTGTGAGTGTGTGTCCCTCGCTAAGCGTTCCGTCTTTTTTCACTGGTAAAGCTGTCTCAAACGCGACCAAAGAGGGCCAGAAAAGATGTAAATCACACAGCTTCGCAGAATCTAATCCTCCCTCACTTTCACCCACCGAGCAAAATAGTCTTGGCTAACCAGTGTGGAATTTAGATGAATCAAATTGAACTTATGTGGTAATTGGGCTGCGAGGTTGACCAAGCCATAAAAGCTAGAATTATTACCTTGAGTTGAACCTGGCCACTTTAAGCAGTGAGCAGCTGAATAGAAGACAATCAAAGCACTTCATGCCAAGAAAAGTATTGGGGATGTTATTAAAGGTAATTGTAATGTAAATGTGAATAAAAAAAAGTGCATGAGGTGATAACTTACCGCAGGCAGGAAACGAACCTGCAACCTTCGAATACCGCGCCCGGTGCTCTACCAATTCAGCTACTAAGGCGGCTATGCCCCTGTCCAATTGATGGGATATGTATGTGCAATTAAACGTGGGAGCGTCCGTCAGCGCAGCCAGTAGCCATTACGGCAAGTGTGGAACACTCTGTTTGCTGTTGGCGTCACGTGACCCGTGATCTGACCAATAATTCCTTGCTTACTACAGTGGAAGGCATAAATTCTGCCAGAATGACACCCTCGCTATGAATAAAGGAAGAAAGGGACATTATAAAGGGCTTGCTTTTTTTAGACACAATATAAGTTGTTATTAGTACGCGTATTTACGATCATATATATAAATTAATGGCATCGATCCTTGGAAGAGATACATTTATGCTTCATTTGTTTGCCGAGAGCTGCTGAAGAAAGTCCAAAATGATGGGCTGCAGAAACATTCTTTCTAGTGGTCATTGTCGAAAATTGTAGCTTGCTGAGCCAGTTTGTTTATCCTAAACTCCATTCCTTTCGTTATTGTTCAAAATCACGACCGCTGGGTTACTTTGGTACCCCAGGTGGTGTGACGTTTGGGCATTCACACAAACATGTATAAAAATAGAATCGTAGGGTGTTCATGTGACCCCAGCACAACAATTTCTACAAAAGTTACAGGTACCATGCTTTTCGAACACTTTGTAATACTTTTCTTTACCATTTATCCTACATATATTCAAAAAAAATAAACGAAACAAGGCTTCAAAGGAATGAAAAGTCCCTGAGTGCAAGCCTGTGTATACATACGCACGTACATATGGCAAAACATGAAAAGGAAAGATATGTTGTATTGCCCATTGTTTTGCTGTGTGTTCACGTCCGTGACTAAGCAATAGCTCTATTATCCAAGGCATAAATCGAAACGGGATATACGCTTCCAATTATACCATCAAGATGTAAAAGCACAACCCAGGATGAAGAAAAACCACGAGCACATGAACGAGCATCCTCCCGTTCGCCCTGGGTTGCGTCCTTTTGAGCTATAGCCGAACAACATGCTTTAGTAACAGAGAGAGAAACGAAAAAAAAGGAAGGCAGGGAGGTTAACCAGATGCTAGTATCCGGTATGCTACCCTACATTGGGGTTGGGGAATAGGGGGTTGAAAGAGAAAGATAGAGTTATAAAATAAATAAGAGAATTTTTAGTAATAATCCTTCATATATATTATGAATAAAACAGGCAGTGAGCCTAAAACTACGAAGTTTCCTCGCGACTCTTTTACTCTTACTTGGTAGGACATAACACATCTTCATGCGCGATATACGCGTATATACACAAACACACACGCACACACTGTCGCAACCTGACAGGTGTGTGTGTGTGTGTGTGTGTGTGTGTGTGTGTGTGTGTGTGTGTGTGTGTGTGTGTGTGTGTGTGCGTGTTCGTGCGTGCGTGCGTGCGTGCGTGCGCAATGCATGCTTCACTTCCAGTCCCCAGAAGTAATAAAGGCTTAACGGCGCTTATCGGCATTAAGAAGCTTATGTACAGCTTTCCGACGTCTTATTCTGTCCATTTAAGAAGTTCGCTGAAGTATTAGAAGTCCTAGCACAGCGCCAGGTACGAGTGCTATAAGCTTTATGGGCCAGCTTTCGCCGATCAAGCTTTGGTTTGATCCCTTATAATTAGCAGTCAAGACCATGTGTGCCCATTTTATTACCTTCTTGGGAGGCGTTTGAGACTCGGGAAACTTGAGAATGATTATTAAAGCAACTTGAGTCGGTAGGCATTGATGTGCCTTGTCTGGACGCCCTGGGCTTCAGAAGAAAATACAAGGTTTAGTAAAACGAAACTGTTTACATTGGTCTCAGTGAGAGTAACTCAAGTTATGTGAAGGATCAGTATAGTTTTTTTTTTTTTTTCGAAAACAAAACTTTGCAACTGATTAGAGGGGAAAAAAAGAAAGGCAAAGAAGGTTGATCACATGGTGATATAGGCTTTACATCTACATTCCGTATGCTGGCCCGCACTAGGGTTGCGCAGCTGAGCAAACGTTCGTCTTGTTAAGGAGTCGAACCTGCGACCAACGCCAGCGTTATTGACGAGAGATCTGAGTGAGTGTTCCACCAACTGGAGGACATTGACATGTCGTTTGTTTTCAAATAATAATAATAATAATAATAATAATAATAATAATAATAATAATAATAATAATAGCTGAGGTATTGCATTCCAAACCCGTGGTATGATAATGACGGGCAACCTCGGAAATTTCGACCACCTAGGATTTTCTAACGGGCGCTAGTATCGCGCAGTATTCACGGGTCTCGGACGCTAGCATATCACTTCTATCGCAATGCGACCACCACGGCCGGAATCGAACCCGCGACCTTTCAGGTCAGCAGCTGAGCGCCGTAACCACTAATTAATCGAGGCGGACTATGGTTTCCTTTTCATCTTGAGCATCTTCTCAATACTTTCGCAATGAAGGACACCAGCACTTCCCAGAAAAGCCACTTAAGAACCAGATATAGCAAAAGACGAAAATAAGGCACTTGAGAGGCACATTGAGACACGTACACGTCACGTACGCCCACCTACGTCAGCGACGTCCTTCGACGACCACCTGCCGACGTTTGCCGTACGACATGTAGAGATGACACAGCAATTGCTTCATGCGTGGAGCACAGCATGTTCTTCTCAATTTGCATGCGATGAGAGGCCACATCGCCTTAGAATCTGCATACACTTCTTTTTTCTTTTGACACTCTGTGCCATGTTCTGCCGTACTAGATGCTCGTCTGAGCGCATAAAGAATAAACGCTTGACATGGAAACGCCATCAGGGGAGATGAATCGCGTGTCGAAACAGTGCGAAGCAAGGGCCGCCATCAGAGGAACACATAAACAGCGGTCATGGGCAGCGGCAACGCCAGTCAATCCTGTAGCTGTTTATCGACGTGGTTTCTCTCTGCTTCACTTTCTTGGCGGCATCTTCTAAGCGTGGGTTGCCGCTAAGCGTGTACACTTTGGAAAAAAAAAAAAACAACGCGAAGACCAGACGATAGATGGTGACACGAGGGGGATGTTTTCGCTCGGCTTTGGCGCTGCTTTTGAAGTTTTAAGTTATGCATTAGCTGACTCACCTCTCACTGCTTCTCCAGCATGTATCCGTTTTCTAATCCTGGCACCACTACTTTTCTTGCGCGTTCTTACAGAACTCTAAGGAGTGCCATGGCTGACAGTGCCACAGAATAAATGGTAGACTAGCGACGCAAGTTCATTCTCTCGAGTAAGCCTCGAGTACTCATTTGAGTCCATATCTCTCTCGTCTCCCGATTGTTTTAATAGCTATGCAGTTGCGAAGCCTAATAGTGAATTTTGCTGTACCCATCGAAATTCCTTTTACGAAACTGTTCTCGGATGTCATCGAAGTATAGTTCAGGCTGCTTCTTCGTACCTAGAGCCGTTACTTACATTGCAGGCTCCAGACATAAGATACCATTGCACAAGAAATGTTGAGGCACCGATACACAAAATATACATTCTTTTTAAATACACGCTGTATACAATCACAGTATGGCTGCAGAAATACATAAACTCGTCTGACATTCACCCGCTTTCATTTTACATCAGTCTCACTATCAGCAGTCCAGTGGTTGTCGCAAAGGCTGCTGACGTCATAGTCAAGTTTTTTCCACTCATATGAGAGGTACACTACGCTTATTTGTGTATTAGTTTTTCAAGCGAGGCTCTAGTGTGCCCGTTGAGCGGTGTCGCCGTTGGCATTGCGGTTGTCGGCGTAGCCGATGAAACGATATCCCGAGCCACTGGCCTCGACATCACTCTCTTCCTTCGCGTGGCCCCTTGGTCGGAGCTCATCCTCATGAATGGTGAGCTCGTACACCG